TTCTTAAATTTCTCAAAATTTTTGATAATCTCTTGTAAATCATTCATCCTCACTCAAGATTGGAGTTCATTTGATGTTGGATACTCCTTGGTATTGAATGAGTCCATTTAAATAAACGCTGTGAAACCGCTTTTGCTGTTTTGTTTCTGAATCACATGCAAATCGCTTGAATTGCACCACCTTTTTTACCAAAAACTAGAGAGGAATAATATTTCTATAATATCTCATTTTTCTTCTCAAATTTCAGAGAGGATTCACATCTTAGAGCTTGTTTGGTACAGTTTAAAAGTCAATTAAAATCAATTTTTTGACCGTAATTTCACTATTCCAGCCATCATTTTTGAATTTTTCTCAAACAGGTGGGATTCACTTTATCTCTAACGGTAAAAAAATCAATTATCAAAAAATCTACCAAACAAGCACTTAATGTTATTCAAGTTAATTCTTCCGTTCTCTCAATGCTTAAGGAATTACTTTCATCTTTGTTTATTGTTGTTTTGGATAGCTTAAAAATTCTTTTTCTTACAAATTTGCTTGGGACAATAATTTAAGTGATGAAGTGTGACAGGCGAAAAGGAACGGATGGCTCCCAACCATCAGAAGACTTCCTGGTTACATGTCCAATTGTGTAATGTGTACTGTGAGAATAATTTTTGCTTTTATGCGTCCTTAACTCCCTCCTTTATGTGATGGAACCTACAAGAACTCCCTTTGATGCACCATCCTTTGGCATAAAATTCATATATAATCCTTTGCCTTTTATTCCCACCTGTCTACTCAATGCTAGACGAAAAATCTCTAGGCCTTGTCGGGGAAACATCAACCCCTTTGTGACATTGCAGCAAAATACTCAACACCTTTAAACTTCTCACTAGAAGCATCAACCATTGATGGTGCAACTTTGACTTCTCTTAACAGAAGATTTATTATACAAAGCATTCATTCCCCAACTGTGACATTAAGGAACATTTTCATCAATCTTTCGGAGTTCTCTTTCTTGCAAGAGCCTCATAGTTATTTTCATGCTTCGATTGATTTTATGCTACCTAATTGTCCCCAAATTGGGTTTCATATTTCAAATAATTCTTTCTTGTTTCTTATTGTACTTCAAAGTTTAGCTTTGTACTTCGTGCAACAAATGTGTAAGTTTAGCTTTGTACTTTGTGCAACATATTTGCAATTTTGGCTTTGTAAAAGTGAGATCATACAAAGGCGGTATAACATGTTATGTTGACCTAGTAAAAAGGGAACATACCAAGGCATCGAAAATTAAGGGTCATAGTCAAGTTAGACGTGGATAAGTGGGACAATGGGATTCTAAGGAGAAGCCTGATCTTGGGAAAACTTGCGTTGGTGATGTCATCTATTTTTGTTTTGTGCAAGCTCAGTCTAAACCTGAGAGTGCTACTGATTTGAAAGGCTTAGAAATTGCACATTTGGCAAAAAATGGAAATTCTGGCTCTATTTCTCCTTTAAAAAAAAATAAAAAAAACTAGATTATGTTTATGTCCAGTTTTGCACATTTGGCCAAAAATGGAAATTCTGGCTCTATTTCTCCTTTAAAAAAAAAAAAAAAAAAAAAACTTGATTAAGTTTATGTCTAGTTTCCTAACCTGTGATCAAGTTGATATGCTTCTTATGGGAGGAGACATTTCCAAAGAGCACTCCGACCTTGGCTGGTTTAGGAAGGATGGAATTGTTCATTGCTTTTGGTCCTACTTGTCCTGGAAGTTCTTGACGTCATGGTAGAAACGTCTTTACCTTGTGGAACCATCCAGCATGTGTGTTGTGATAGGAAGAGAAAATTTATGCCTAAGAAATCCAAAGGATTGATGAAGTTAGGAACTCAGGACATATTGCCAATTTGAGTTTATGATTGAAGTCCAAAGCATGTAATCGATAACCAGAGAGCTCTACTTAGAAGATAAGACTGGAGAGATCTTGAGAATATAGGATGTGGGGCATGGGTGTCTTAGACATTGCATGGAATATGGTCGTCCCTCCCTACCCGTTTCCTATTTTTTCTTGTTTCCTCCGTACTTGTTGAACATTCTAGTGATTATGAATTGCATGAATTCAATGAGAATGGATATAAAAATTAAACTATGTCATGGTATTTTATGTTTTTTCTTGCGATACAGATGCGATACAGAAAACTGGTATTGAGCCTCACTTTTTGTTAACGTATTGGTTGCACTGAAATTGTAGTCTCTTTTATGTAAGAAATAGAATGAACTTTATCAAATTTTCTCACTATGTTTTCCCATAAGTCAGATACATCTCGCTCTCAGTCCACCTCTTCCATTTCTTGTGCTGTCACTATTACTAGAATCGTCCGCAAATTAGATTTGTTGAGAGAAATGGAAGGAAGTTTATCAATTTTAGTCGGTGGAACCAAACTAGTCCCTTGTCCCACTTCTTCAAAGAAGACATATAAAGGGTTTTGGATTCTATAGCAGTTTATACTGTCCAGTGTGCTAACTACTCCAAAAGATGTTTATTATCCCCACAAAGGAGAAATATGAGGAGATAAGAGAAACAATAGTGGAACAATCTTTCCCTTGTGAAATGGCACATGAATGGTGGCCTTAAATAATGTGTTAATGAACCAGATCTTGTGAAAGATGGCAGCCGGCATTGAGGCAATAGAAAAGCCTAGTACTTCTCAACCTCTTACTCCTCAACCTCTTGGCTTGCAATGGATTGTACTTATCGGAACCTCTTGAGGTTTATTAGGTTGCTCTACTAGGTGAGCGATTATGATCAATGTGGAACCTTAGAGTTACCTGAATGAATGTCTAGAAAATGAACATGAGGGAAATTAAGCATGAAATGCATGCTTGTTCTACTTCTTCATGACTTGAGTGACACTGTGATGGACGTTGTAACCATTCCCATTTCTTGGATTGCTGAAGACCATATTAGAGATTTGAACTTTGGTGTAAAAGGGAAATCTACTTCAGATGTTGAGTCACCTGTGGATAGTTGAGGTTGGCGTGTCAATAATCCCATGTGCTGGCAGTCTCTCTAAGTAACTCCCTCCATTTGAGTTATAACCACTGAATAAAAGTTATGAAATGTAAATAAATAAAAGCATGAAGATGAAGAGAGTTAGTTGTGTCAACGAGCTGAAACTTGAGGCTTAGGCTCGGCTTGAGTAAAATGGTTCGAGCTTTTTTGCAAGCCCGAGCCTAGCCGATCTTTTGCCTGGCCAAGAAATCTAGGCTCAGAAGGCTCGGGCCTTATTTGGCTAGGCATTCTCGACTTTTTTTTTCGTGTTGCCTTTTTTTTAGATGCTGCCTTTTCAAAAAGACTGCAAGGATTGAGTACTGCATTTTGCTGAATATTTTAGGCAGCAACAAAGGCGGTGTGTTGCTGCTTTTAACCCCTTTTTTTTAGGCGAGCCTGGTTTGATAGATGGCCACATCAGTACTATAATTGAGCAGATGGGTACCGGCTGTTCTGTAGTGCCCATGATTCTTGCCCATGAGCCCAAGCTGGAGAGTTGGCAGGTCGAGCCACGGGCGGCCTGAGCCGACGAGGCCAATTGTCATTCCTAAATAGAGTCTTAGAGTCATGCTATTTACTTGAATACCTGCAACGATATTGCAAGGGGATAGATTTTTCACGGGGGTTGTATAGGGAGTTGAGTGAGTGGAGTTGACACAATGACACAATTAAGAAAAAATGGCACTTTGATTCAGAAAGCTTTTTTTATGAGGGTAAAACAACGAATTTTTAAGTGAAGGCATGGTAATTCTTTTTGGGAAAATGAAAGATCATTTTTGTTATTGACCTTAAAAAGTCTCTCATAACTTTTGAAAAATTTCATCTAACTTTTTCATACTGTCTCACGATTTTAGAAAGATCAAATGGAGATCCCTATTGGCCTGGTGAACATATATAGAGGAAAAAGCTGTTGCGGTGAGTGTTCTTTACTCATGCAAAAGATTTTTGCTATTCTGATGTGGCTGACACTAGTACTTGTAGGTTGATGTTTCAGGTTTCAAAGATATGTTGCTTAAGGAGCTAGTCTCTGGTCATCAGCTATTTGTCCTTGTCAAGGTAATTTTATCTGCCATTATTATATCCGATCTTTGTTTATACTTTATACCTAATTATTATTTTTTATACTGTTCTTAATTATAATTTTGCAATTCTGGACATTTCTGAATTGGTTGATTTTTATTCCAGTATAATTTCATCTGTTTTGTTTCATAAATGTGGCTGAACTAACACTCATTTGTTCCACGTATCATTTGCTATTGACTATAAGATGAAGCTGGTTCGGAATCAACACTTTAGAATTTTCAATTTTTCACTTATAATAATGAAACAATTTGAGTTGGGTTTGGTTTAGTTCTGAAAACGTTTTGCTGTCAGATATCATGAATTTGGAGGATCTAATGGTAGGAGTTTGATTTCCTCTATCTAGAAACTATTTCCTATTTATATTTGTCACAAAAGTTCATTTGACTTTTAAAAAAACTTAATTTCCTCTAATGAATGATAAACTCTACCGTGCTTGTTTGGTGCAAAATAGGGTTATGACCAGTGGCCAATTTAGCATGGGGCTACCTGCCCCCATGGGAGTTTGATTTCCTCTATCTAGATACTATTTCCTTTTAATGTTCGTCACAAAAGTTCATTTGATTTATAAAAAAATAAAAAATAAAATAAAATAAAATTAATTTCCTCTATAATTAATAAGCTCTACCGTGCTTGTTTGGTGCAAAATAGGTGCATGACCTGTGGAATATAAGGAAATCTCGATTATAAGGAAAGCTACCATATTTAATAGGTTACTATTAATGAATATTGTAATTGATAGCTATCATATTTAGTTGTGATTTTGGTTCTATATAATGAGAGAATATTTCACATTGAGGGACATCGATAGTTTTCTTGGTATTGACAAAGGGTTAGCAATTTCTAATATTGTGGGCTAGTTTGAGTGGGTTATAATTGGTCTGTTTTGAAATCAGAGAAGGCATTAGCATCTAGGGGCAGGGGGATTTTGTCTTGGCTTTAGGTCCATGGAGGGTGAGGGCAGCAGCGTCATAGGCCTGGGTAGCTTCAACAGCAGAATCAAAGGTGCTGAGCCAGTCACGGACTTTCTTCTGCGGGTCTCTGATCTCATCAGCAAATTTTCCCCAAGGTCGTTTTCTCACTCCCTTGAATCTTATCTCTTTAGATCTTGCAGATCAATTAGCATCTTCACTGTTCACCACCTTCGTCGTCTTGCCACCATAGGTGCTTTCCCTTTCCTCATGACCTCAAAACCGAAGATTCAACAACAAAAATAAAAGAAAATCCTTCTCTGTAAAGAGATAATTCAGGTACAGAAAGAGGGGAAAAGATGAGATGAGATGCCTAAAAAAATCCATATTTACATAGAAAAATTATAGAGATGAGATTGTGATAGTTTAATTTTCTCTTTTTATAATTGGGTCTGGTTTGAGTGCATTGGTTTTGTATGGGCTGTGATTATTTATTTATTTATTTATTATTATTATTTTTTTAATGTTAAGTGACACCTTTAATAATTGAAAGGCGTAGTTCAGTCTGAAGAACTACATACCTTTAAATTTGACATGAATCCATTAAACAAATAGCATTTAACTTCTTAAGTGGAATTGCAAATAGTAAATAATCAGATATTTATATCAAGGAATTAAGACGATGCGCAATTTAAAAATTTAAATCTATTTTTTTATGAAAGAGTTGAATTTGCTATTAAGATATTTGGAGAAACCAATGAATATAAGAAAGCCAGTATTCAGATGCAACTTGGAGAAAAGAGTAGGCTTACACATTTTCAAGAGACAGGACACAAGGATTCTGGGAGCTATGCAAATAATCAATATTAGTTCTAAATTTTCCCAACAAATGCATGAGTAGAAAATCATTGAAAACGAAGAAAATATTCTCTAAGCAGTTAGCTTTACATTCTTGGTCATGCATGCCAAGATCTGAACACCCATAATAAGCCTTAAATATAAAGAAATTACCAGCTTCACTTGCTAAAAATTAACCGGCATTCAAGAATTCATGTAATCATACTCATGGAACAAAATTAACTAGAATTAAGAGAAGAAATATTTCTACATTAATTATACTTGTATAGCTTATAGTTACTACTGTAATGCAGAAGACCGTCGAAGAAGCTGCAATTGTTCTCCTGCAAAAGCGGAAGGCCAGCTGCTCTAAAATTCAGCTATCCAATTCGAACTCGACTCATTAAAAATTCTAATAAAAGATATCACTTAAACCCCCAAACGGGACATTTTTTAAACTGAAAATGCAAAAGTTTCAAGTGCAAATTTTGAATCTGAATTTATACTTTTAATACATTAAAACAGAAACCAGCTTAAATTTTTCGAAGGGGATAGACGCCAGTATAACAATGTGAATCAAAAAACAAAATGCTCAGTTTTTTCTCTGGACTTTGATTAGGAAAATCCCAGGAACCCTATTGTGAAATCAGAGAAGAATAGAAAAAAGTTGAGCAATATCCACTTATTGCTATTTATACAGAAATCCGTCGAGATATAGAATTGAAGAAAGAGAGACGGTATAACTGCAGGAGAAGTGGTAGCTGATGGACACGAAATTTGATAAAGAAGCCAATATAGGGATTAGATAGCAATAGGAGATGGAATATAGACGAGGGATTTGAGAGTTGAGCTACATCTCATTTTTGGAGCAAGAAAGAATACAGCATTTCCTTCATGTTTCTGTGATCTTTTACATGTTCTCTCTGGAACTGTTACTGGCATTTGTTATGGCTTTCATGGGACAATGACAAGAATTCTCTAAGATAAAACTTTCTTTGTGATTAAGATCTTTTTTGAAACTAATGTTGCATTTATGTAAACTACACGTTGTTTGACATGATGATATAATATGACATGTTATAAAACATTTATAAATTTTTTTAAACTTTAAATAGTAATTTATATTTACTAATGCAATTGCCCTTCTTTGAACATCGAGCGAGCAAGAGATTCTACCATTGTATGGTACCCTTCCTACGGGGTTGAGCTTGCATGTTATGCTCCAATTTATTTTCTGCTACCCAATAATCCCCTAGGTTTCACATTCAAAGAACTCTCTCCTGTTTCTTAATGTACTTCGTGCAACAAATGTGCAAGTTTGGCTTTGTACTTTGTGCAAAAAATGTGCAAGTTTGGCTTTGTACTTTGTGCAATAAATGTGCAAGTTTGGCTTTGTATTACGTGCAACAAATGTGCAAGTTTGGCTTTATAAATAAGCCACTTGAAGTGAATTATTGAAAATTGAGCCAACTCCCTTTGCCTTGAATGATGTGGCGGTGAAACTCTTATTGTAATTCACTGCTCACCAAACCTTGTGCCATTTTTGCAATTCTTAATTTACTCAAAATCTTCGATAATCCCATGTAAATCATTCATCCCCTATTCATGATTGGAGTTCTATTCGAAGTCGGGAACTCCTAGGTCTTGCCGAAGTCCATTTAAATGGTACACTGAAATTCTTAATAACATGCAAACTGCCTGAATTATACCACCTTAATTTGTCATATTTTGTGGTTATTGGTTGTCATCTTAACTACAGAGGTATCTTGGGCTCTTTGTATAAGTTCTGTGGTGATTTTGTTTTATCATTCTTTCTATGAATCTACTTGGGGGTTGTATGGCGCATGCCACGGTTTGGTGAGCATTAAATTATAGTAAGAGGTTCATCGCCATGCCATTTTCAGCCAATGAGATTTGCATTAATTCACTTCAAGAGGCTATTATTCATAGTAAAAATCCCCAATTATTTGAAATAAAGCTATTAGATTGTTCTAGCAAGCATAGTGAAACTCAAAGTTCTTCATTTATAATGTAATGAAGATGACTGCTACCCAGTAAACATTACATCAGGATTCAGAGCTAATTTTGTTTTAAAGAAAATTCAAATTCAAATTATATATAGACAAAACACTTCACTTCCATGGTAAAGGGGATCAAAGTTTTATCCATAAAATTGGACCTCTTGAAATCAAAACTTTAAGCATTTCAGAAGTCATGGTCTTAGCCTTCCCAAAAAAAAAAAAAAAAATGCATGATAATGCACTCTAATAGGGAGAAATTACAGGATATGCTAGAGAGACCAATCTCATGCTACTATATATTCCTCAATTAGCTTTTCAAGTTTGGGCCTAGACACATAAATATAGGACTTAATTGGTTCGCCTGTGTTAGGAATTTGGTATCGTATAAATGGGCTAAGAACTTTGTCAAGTGCCTTCTTCACTCTCACTTTGTGAAAATTTCTCAGTTCATTTGAATCCTTTAGCACATGTCGCGACTGTTCCTAAGAACCCTTCTGCGCATATCCACTGTTCTTAAAATCAATATCAATCTCATTCTTTATGTGACTTTATCTTCTTGTGGTCCAGTCTTGTGCATTGGTTCACCTTGCGTTCCTGAATCATGATTAGAACTCAATACAATCGCGTTTGGATCCTTGTCTCCTTTTGAATGTAAATTGCCTCCACAAGAAAACTTTGTCCCATATCTAACATTTGTTGGCTCAATGCCATGAAGAATGGGTCTATACAAATTTGGTTGAGACAATAACTTTTAAGTTATGAAGTTTGATGGGCAAAAAGGAACAAATGACTCCCAACCATCAGAAGGTATCCTGATTACATGATCAGTTGGGTACTGTATACTGCTAGACAATAATTTCTGTTTTGATGCTTCCGTAGCTCCCTCCTTCACGTGATGGAACCTACAAGAACTTCCTTTGATGCACCATCCTTTGGCATGAAATTCACTTATAATCCTTTCCCTTTCCCACCTGTCTACACAATGCTAGATGAAACATCTCTTGGCCTTGTCTGGGAAACATGAACATTTGTGACATTTGCTTTATGTTCTCTGCAGCAAAGTACTCACCATTAGACTTCTCACTAGAAGCATCAACCATTAATGGTGCAGCTATGACTACTACAACAGAAGCTTTGTTGTTACAAAGCATTCATTCCCCGACTGTCACACAGGAACTTTTTTTTAAACAGTCTTTCAGGGTTCTTTTTCCTGCAAGAGCCTCATGTTTATTTCATGCTATACTTGATTTTCTGTTACCTAATAATCTCCAAACCTGGCTTCACATTTCAATGAATTTTCTGTTGTATATTATTGTTCTTTGTGCAACAAATGTGCAAGTTTGGCTTTGTACTTCATGCTACAAATTTGCAATTTTTACTTTGTAAGAGCGGGATCATACAAAGGTAGTATAACATGTTACGTCGACCTAGGAAAAAGGGAACATACCAACTACCAAGGCATCGGAAATTAAGGAGCACGGTCAAGTTAGATGTGGATAAGTGGGATAATGGGATTCTACAGAGAAGCCTGTTCTTGGGAAAACTTCTTTGCCTTGTGGAACCATTCCGCACGTGATCTGATAGGAAGAGAAAATTTATGCTTTAATGAACCCAGTAATGGATTGAAGAAGTCAGGGACTTGGGTTCAATACGTATTTGACATTTTGAGGTTGTGATTTAAGTGCAAAGCATGAAATCCATAACCAGAGAGCTCTACCTAGAAGATGAGACAGGAGAGCTAGTGAGAAGAGAGTATTAGACTGTCCAAGGTGTTCCTCTTGGAATCTGGAGATGTTAGATTGTGGTGCAAATTTGGAAGTCACCGCCAGGTGCAAGGGACGGAGAGAATGTGGGGCACAGCTGTCTTAGACATTGTGCGGAATATGGTTATCCCTCACTCTCAGTTTCCTGTTTTTCTTGTTTTCTCTGAACTTGTTAAATATTCTTACAAATTATTATTTGCATGAGTTCAATGATAATGGATGATAAAAATTAAATTATTCATGGTAATTTATGTTTTTCTTGCGACGAAGAGATATGGTATTAAGCCTCACTTTTTGTTAAATGGTGCAATGAAATTGCAGTCACGTCTGTCTTAGAAATGGAATGAAGTTTATCAAATGTTGTTACTATTCTCGCATTACACCCTTAAATTAGATCTAGCTCTCTCTCACAGTCTGCCATTTCCTGCGTGGCCTCTGCCATTACTAAAGCCATTCCACCAATTAGAGTTCTTGAAAAATGGATGGAAGTATATCAAATGTAGTCAGTGGAACCAAACTAGTCCCTTGTCCCACTTCTTCAAAAAAGACATCTAAAAGGGTTTTTTAATTCTATTGCAGCTTATGCTGCTCAGTGTGCTATTGACTACAAATGGAGGTTTATTATCCACACAATATAAGGGATTAGAGAAACGATTGAGGAATAACCTTTTCGTGAATGGCTGCCTGAAATGACGTATTAATGAACCAGATCTTGTGGAAGATGGCAGTTGGCGTTGGGGCAATAAAAAAGCGGTATTCCTTAACCTCCTGGCTGGCAACGGATTTCACGTCACAGCTGAAGTAGACACAAAATTTGTTGAGGTGTACTTACGTTGTTCTTCTGGGTGTGGGATTAGGATCAATGTGGAACTTCAGAGTTAACATGGAAAACTAAGCATGAAAGCATGTGCTTGTTGTACTTCTTTATATGACATGAACGACATTGTGATGCCAGTTGCTACCAAATTTCATATC